TTAAATCTAACCTCAGAGCGACTGGAGCTCACCAAGGACTGCCTTTTATCAGTGGACTGGCTGGCTGTACTCGCTCTGACATAAACACAGCTCACCTCCACAGCTGGCATTGGGAAAGTAATTCCACTGACACTTCTAAAGTGGCAGGGAACTCCAGCTCTTAGGTCTACGGGTAAGAAGAGCTGTGATTAAATATTTACTAAGTGTTTTGTATTTCTCTAATGAGCTTGAAATGTTTCTAATGAAATGAAGTTTTAGTGTTTCATTAGCATCATCTCATCATGGGGCCTACTACGGGTTAACTCTTTGAAATAAAAACATTGCTGACTAATGAAAGCCTACTGTAATTTCTTCCAAGTTATAATGTGAGTACAGGTGAAGACACCCTATGCTTAACTTCTTGCAGTAAATTCTTAGGTAAATAGGAAGGATGTGGTATGAGTGACACCTGTAGCATCTTTACTATGTACGACTTGACTCGCTAGTAAATGTTATGCGTCTATGCCTCACCTTAGAATGTAGCCAGGGTGGCTCCGACTGGGATCTTTATCTTACTTGTCTTCAAGTTATGATAGTTGGGTAGAAATACACAATTAGATGCTTTAAAATTCAATAATATAGTTTAAGAACTTAATTAGGTTTTAACTTCAGGGTCTGTATAATCTGATGTGAGTCAATTAAAAAGGGTTTAGAACGAGTATTTCTGTTTTTGCATCTGGCCATCGCTTAGAAACTTTAAGTGGTTCGGGAATCGTGCATTTCATGGAATTATAGGTCAGTGGAAGGTGCTGTACCTTCTCGATCAGAATTGCACTCAGTAGGAGATGGAGCCAAGATTAAAAGTGAGAGCTGGCTGCCTCATTTTTCAGGCTGAGCAGTGTTACTGCCAGAAAGTATCGGAAATTCTTTACGTTGGTAATGTTTCTGACCTTATCATTGCTTTGGTTTTTGGAAAATGAGAACAAATAGAAGGAATATCAGGAACCCGGACCCTCGAAAGTTGAAAATGCTTTTTGAACTTCCCCTCTGTTTTTGGAATTATCTGAACTAGTTGAGAACCGTATTTGCTCGGAGAGTCCTGTCTCATTTTGCTTAAAAAAAAATTATGAAGGAATCATTCACGCATTGTTGATTCCATCCAGCGTTGAAGTCGACACCCATCGCTTGCACGGAAGTGGTGAATAATCAGGTTGTCTGTGTCACGGCGTGATTGCAGCGCACCAAGAGAGAGTTTGAAACTGCAGTCGATAGCCTGTCTTATTGAGCGGCGTCCAGGGTTATCTAAGTTCTAACAGCTGCCACCTTCATTCCTGAAATTTTACCTTTTGCTTTCTTTTCTGAGATGTTCCACCTGAAGAGAGCCAACTCACTTGATGTGCTTAGCCGTGTGTCAGACGCTGTTCTGAGTGCTTCATCTGTGTTAATTCCTATATTTATTCCTCATAATAACCCTGAGGATGGGTTCTGTTCCACTTAACAGATGAGGTACAGAGAGGTTAGGAAACCTGTGCCCAGTCGTGACACTGATATGTAGAAGCTGGAAGCTAAGATGTGCTCTCCCACGAGAGCCCCTGCTCTCAGTCACTTGGCTGTATTGACAGTTGGACTACTGTGTTTTTGTTTGGGGACAGGAATTTTTATTGAATTGTCACTGTGATCTCAGTGAAAGGACAAAGGGCTTACCTTTCTTGGTAGGGAGCAAGGCCTTGGGAAGCAAAGAATGGTCTAGAAGAAATGTGGGGCTTTGTGTCAGGAGTTCCCTAGGACGGAGCTTCCAGATGGCCCCCCGAGGCTGAGGGGAGACTCAGAGGGACTCGTGGTGATGAGGGAGAGAAGGAACAAGGTTCCTAAGCATCCTGACGCACCATATCACCTGCCACCCCAGCTCTGCTGTAGGAACTGACTTCAGATCCAGTGTAGCATGTGGCCTTTATAGTGTACATAGGAAAATAAAGGGACTTTAAATGGAATGCTTTCCCTGACTCTCAGGGAGAGTGCCTGCACACAGCTTGGCTTAAAATTACCCTAGGCGCCTGCTTTTTCTTTTTTGTCTTCTCATAACTCTGCTATGGGTTACGGTTGCTTTCCCCTTAGCCAGAGCTCTGTGCTGTTGGATACGCGCCTGCTTTTGCATGCACGGGGCCCTTCTGCCTGGAAGGCCAGCCAGCTCCCCGCCTTTTGAGGTGGGCTTGAACAGTAATAACCGATGCCATGTCCTGAGCTGCCGAAGGTCCCAGGCGCAGCCCTCACTCAGTCTTTATAGCAACCCTGT